GTCTCTGACCTGCGCGTTTGCCGCCGGCGAATTCGGTGGCCTTGCTGAGATGCGCGCCCAGGGCAACATCGCCACCTGGACGATCATCGCTCTCCTCGGAAACGGCATGCTTGCCTTCGGCCTTAACGTCGCCTCGTTCCAGACCAACAAGGTTGCGGGTGCCCTTACCATTAGCGTCTGCGGTAACCTCAAGCAGTGCCTGACAGTTCTCCTCGGCATCATCGCTTTTGGTGTCGAGGTCCACCTCTTCAACGGCGCCGGTATGGTTCTTACCATGTTTGGCGCTGCGTGGTACAGCAAGGTCGAACTCGACCGCAAGAACAGGCAATAGATGTTGCGGCGATATGTTTTGGTGGATGAGATGCAGACGAACGAGTCACGATTACTCGGCCCCGGGCATATAGCCAAGAGGTCAAAAATACACACAATATGCCCAACAGCGGCATCCGAACCACGCGCCTTTCTTCGAAGCACCACGGCCGACGGTATGGTGTCATATATAAACCGGGAACTGAAACGCCAATCGCCGCTACACCAACAGGCTTCACCTTGGCTTTCTTTCTTCCCAGGTCGTCTTTTCTCTGTAAGACTACAACAGCGGCTGTGCATCTTTTTCTTTCCAGAAAGAGAAAACGCAAATACCCCCAGCAATGCAGCGAAACGCAAACGGATAGCTTTTTCTTTTTCCAAAGACGGTGCAACCAGCATAGGGTGGGCAGTGGATCAGGCAGGGCGACGGGCATCAAGGGGAACTGACAGAGTATCCCTTTCTGGCGTCTTTGGATGATTCGGTTTGTAAATCTTGTCAGAGTAGTTCCGATACATAATTGGCCTGACTTTTTCTTTTCTCTGTTCAATTCACGACCTCAGTCCCACTGCACCTGTGTAAAGTGAGTCGACGAAGTGGACGAGTTCCTTTTTTTGAAAGAAGCCATCCCGTATAGAAGGGCCCTAGCAGAATTCGCGTCAGGCTTGCGGTCTGTACGAGGTGCGGTGCATTAGCTTCGTACCTAGAGAAAGGCTCACAGGAGTTGCATCGACTTTGTGGCATTTTCGAAGGGGAACAACGGGGAAGGGGGTGGTAAAGGGTAATATGCTCGTCGCCTTGTCCTCTGGACTCGCGGCGTATAAGCAGAGTGTCATTGTCGGCAGCAGACGCGAGACGGACGGTGTCGACAAGCACGTTCTGCTTGATCGCGTCGTCCGGAGATGGCCCCGTCTTCGATATTGGGCTAGGGGAAGGTAAGAAGGCTGCCTGGAGCTCTGCCGGCGCTCTGGTGCGACTTCCAACAGGGTCTTTCTGAACGTGTATCTCTGGGTATGGGCGTGAGGTATCCGGTAGGTTGCTGTGTAGGTGATGGTTGATGGCGCTGGTCGCTATACGTGGCGCCTCAACGATGCACGATGCCGAGTGCCTACCTTTTCCTACCTAGGGAGGTAACTTAAGCAAGGTACCTAGGTAGGGAGTAGGTGCCTCGGTAGAGGAAGCGCGCCCCGACGACAGCGCCCTGGCACGGCCGGGTGAGGAGGTGCCTAGATACACTCATGCCTCCCGAAGGAGCACCGTACTCTCTAAGGTGCATCTTCAGGCGCCAATCACGACCAGGGCGTCCCTCATTTGTCGTTTCCTGATGAGCTGAAACTGGTTGCACTGCCCCTCGCAAGGCAACTTTGGCGGCCTCTGCAGCCTTACGCTGCGAAGCCTACCTCGACAGACAGCCTGCACAGAGTATAATGACGCCGGACCTCGCCCGTCACCACGGACAAACCTATGGCGCACGATAGCCTCGTGAGCAAATATTGATCATGTCGCCAAGTCAAGACATGGTCCCAGCTGGCAGCAGCTTCGCACAGCAGGGCTCCATGGACTGGGTCGGGCTGTCGAGCCGTTCCGTTCACTTCACCATGGACGTGCTGAGCCGCTTCATGGCCGCGGGTGTCCAGCCTTTCACCATCGTCGTCGGCCAAGAGGTCGCCCGACACCTCCCCCTCGCCGAGTCCGGCCAACGCAACGTCCAAGACGCCCTCGACCAACTCGCAAGCTACCAGTCGATCGGCAGCGTCCTGTGGTTCGGCTTCGGCCTCCGTGGCCTGGCACGCACCCTGGGCGCCACGGCAGAGGGGAGGAGCCTCCTGGCCCTGTGTGCGGCATTGGGAGAAAGCTTCCACGAAGACTATGCTGCCTCGGTGCTGCATCATCTCGTGCTCGCTTACCAACCACCCTCGGGCTTTGTACCCTCGCTCCATGAGTGGCAACAGCTCGTCAAGGCCTGCAACGGCATCCTGTCGCAGTCCAAATTTCCCATTCTCGTCGATGCCTTTGTCAGGCTCGTCCCTCGCCGAAGGAGGCTCCAGGAGGCTCTGGAGTCGCGCCGCAGCGGCTTCTTTCTCGAAACCGAGTGCCCGTCGCCCAAAGACATGGCCGGGGCTCTCTTGGCTCTCGGGATGCTCAGGCGCGGCCAGTACGCGTTCGTCACCGTTGAAGGAGGACTCGGGTCGGGCTGGCTCGCAGCCATGGCTGAGTGGATGTACGACCTGGGCGTCGGCATATCCGATCCCCGGGGAAACACCATCTACAGGTCGCCGGGGCCGGGAGGAGATCTGCGCCCGCACCTGTTGATCCGCCTGAGCAAGCAGACTGTCGATGTTCGGCACGTCGGTGCGTCTCCCGCGCAGGACCTCACGCTGGCCAGCAAGACCTACTACTTGAGGGACAAGCTGGGCATCGCGAAGCTGCTGTGCATTGAAGGGACGCCGTTCAGTGGCGGACGTCTCTCGTGGCACGAGTGCCTCGGTGAAGCCTATGGCCTCGAGTTCGCAGAGCTCATCAGGGCGTCTGATCTTGTCGGCCGCGCCTTTGGCTGCGCGGCTCGCATATTTTCTGGCATCTTGGCGTTCGAGCAGCCGGGGATGGACATTTACCACGCCGTCCAGACGCGCAACTATTTCGAAGAATCGGGAGGCCGAGGTTTCATCCGATTCTCCGTCCGGCGGTTTCCTGAGCTGGCGCCCCTGACACGCCGCAGCTACGAGCAACTGGCCCTGTCTTTCCAGGCTGCTCAGGTTATGTATATACAGAGCCTGTTCGACATCAGGAAGCTCTGTGCGTGCAACATTTGCTCCGGCAGTGGGTCGCGGCCCAGCCTGGACAGCCTGTGTCTGCTTGCCGTCTTCGAGTCCGTCGTCATTGTGTGCCAGATGCTGTCGGGAATGGAAGTAGCCGACGGCATGGGTCTGAGGAGGGATGGCCTAGAATGGGTGTACCACAACGCCCACAACGCGCTCATCGACAGTCCGAAGAGGGTCGGATCGCCGGGACAGGCTCTCCTGCGGCAGACAGAAACGGCACGCATCATCACCTGCTCCACACAAGGGCAGCTCGCCGAGAGCGCCATGATGCTCTTTGGTGGCCGCAAAGCGGGGCAGCAGCAGCAACGTGAGCGCCCTGTCTTCTGGAGGCGTGTGCGTCTTCTACTCGATTCTCCGAGACTTCACTCTGGATCGCGAGGCTCTCGGGCGTGTGCACGTGGTTGGAGGCCATATCGACTTGGAGGGCGCGTTGTATGACCGCATTCAGGATGCGACAGGGTCTCCCGTGATATCCCAAGACCATCCCGGCTGGCCGTTCTGGGCGGTTTCCCTCGCCATCACGCAGCGGATCGGGTCCTTGCAAGTCGACTTTGCGCTGGCCGACCAAGCCCGCCTCAGCCACGACACGCCGCTCATCGGCCCCGCGTACTTGGTGGAAACTGCGCTGCGGGCGAGGGGCGCCGTACACTGCTACCGCTCAGCCAGCCGGTGCCACGATCCGTCCTTGGCGACAAGCGTCCGCCCGAGTCGCCCCGGTTTCCTGCTCTTCTCCGACGCCTGGGAAGTCGTCATCACCAAGACCAATGACCCCAAGGATACTACGACCCGGGGCGGCAGCGCGGGTGGCCCTGCAGACGCGCAGGCTCCCCTCCCGCTCTTGAGCGACGACGGCGGCACGCAGGACGATGCAGGCTTTCATGCTGGCGCCGTCAGTGCGGTCAGATGTCGCCAGGGCCGTCACGCTCGTGACTGCGCGCAGCAAAAACTGCTTGACGGTGCTCTGTGACTACCAGTGCCTCGCGTGTTGCTCTAGCGCTGCCATGTCGAGGGCGAAGGACAGGAACTGGTTCGCCATCCTGCCGTGTGATGATGGTCTACGGCGGCTTAGCAGACGCTTCCACCAAGGGTTGTCTGAACAGACGTGTGTTGCAGTAGCGTCAGGAGCGGATATGTATTTGATGAATGTAATGATGCAATGTGCGGCCCATCACTTATTTCCTCGTGGCGGCGTCCGACTTTTGGACGAGCTCTGGAATGAAACAGGAATACATTTAGGGCCTGTCTCTAAAGGGAATCTCTAAAGAGGGAATCTCTAAAGGGGGAGGAGAATCCTTATCTCCCGTTCCTCGTCCCCGCCGCCGCATCAATAGCGGCAAATAACTCAAAAGGCAAACTCCCACAGCACATAATACTAGTATTGCGACCTAGCAGCTTTCGAAGGGGGAATGCTATGAGAGGGTCAGGATTGCTATGAGGAAGGGCTTAGGTTATAACTCTCAGACGATATAGTATCGTAAGATATTGTGTGCTTATTATAATTAAGACAATGTAAGACTTATACTTATTATTACGATAAGAAAGAGTTAAATATCTATAAGTATAGAATATTTATCCTTATATATCTATTTATCCTACTTTCAACATGTTAAATCAAGAGGTTACATACAATAATAATCATATTTATTTAAAAATATGATTCAAATCATATTTGACTCCTCGTCACGAGTGTAGCGTCTCGTGCGCTAGTCGAGGCACTGTCGGGCTTGAGGGGCGACTCTCACGCCGCTGAGTCTCGTAGCTTCTGAGCTTCCAAAGAGCCTGAAGGCTTCGACTTCAATGCCTGTCGGCAATGAACATACCTGGTGTCTTTTCCATCGGCCTGTTCTTTCGAGGAGAGTCGGGTGGGTTTGGTACCCATGACTGAACAGGCTTCCGTTTCGATAACATCCTTGGTTTGGATGATGGGGGTTTCAAAGGACGTTAGAGCCCTGGGAGTGTTCCGAACCGCAGACGTGATCCAAGTCTGGGGTTGCTCGATGCTTGTTTCGTTAAGCTCTGCGGATAGCGTAACGTGCCAAGCGAGGATGGTGTCTGCGACGCCAGGGTCCTGTGGGTGAGTGCGTAGCCAGTCGGGATTCTTGTCACTTTCGTGATGTCAGAATCATTGAGCTTACACTTCCTGATGACTCCTTAATGGATCATAGACGGGTCAGTGGCTCGCTGTTCCTCGGGGACTCTCAGGGAGATCCTGTCATCTTGCTTTAGAGCCATAGGTCTGAGAGGTCCTTGAGGTATTGACCTTTTTTGGCTCAGTTGTTGTTCGTTGGCCGAGCGGGCTATATCGGGGCAGGACTGTTGGTGGCTGGCTGGCACGGTCCGCTGGTAAGGCTGGGGCCGTCCCGGAGGGCCATGTTGGCCCGTCAGGATTTGAGTGAGCGTTGAAGCGAGTCTCCTGCTGCAGTATCCCACAGTAGTCTTGTTGGTGTTGTTGTTGTTGTTGGTGTCGTGGAGGCTCTTGAGGTTCTGTTTGATGTTGGTTGCAAGAGTCCTTCCAATGTGGCGGAAGGAGTCCTGCAGGGCGCGGAGCTTGGTGATTTCGCTTAGCAAAAATCTTCTGGGCTGTCATGGCCACTGTCGCTTGCGGAAGGGATCACGGGAATGGCGTAGAAATCGGGCTCTCGTAGGGTTCGTGGCGGCTGCCTCAGGCGTGCTTGCTACTCTGCGTTTCCGAGGGGACTTCGTGTGGGATGACGGCATGCGTTCCGACGAGTCCCGAGCTGGGGTGCATTCGTTGCCCAAGACAGCTGCAGGCGGCCGCGGCCTCGGCGCGGGGTCTCCGGCTGGGGGAACCCCAATGCCTCAGAGGGCATCTAGGTGAGAATGCGAGAAATGAGCCTTTAACATATTTGGTATCACATGCCTGGGCGCACTAATACTACCGGTGAATGATGTGTCAGAGGGAGAGTTGCTACCAGACCTTGAAGTAGATAGATAGGTATAGATCTATCTACATTTCGTCTACATCGGAGATAGATTCGGCCGACCTGGACGTGATCATAGACAATATGCCCGCCACAAGGTAAATTTGCCTCACCCTTCGATCAAATATGGCCCCAGACAGGTCTCGGCTGATATAGCTCCTCAAGGTACCGCTCTTCCTCGTCCGTCAGGGTTTTACCGCTACCTCCAACCGCCTCGTCAAGCCTTGACACACTGCCGCACCCAATAATGGGGCTCGTAACCCTCTTGTTGATCCAGGCAAGCGCCACGTGGGCCATCGGCCATTCATGTTTCTCGGCGAGCTCTGCCACCCGACCGATAATCTTGAGGTCAACTTCGGTCGTACCATGTCCTCCGCTGGTGAGATCAGACTCGGCAGAGGCTCTCGCCGTCGCGCTCGAAGGGGGCCGAGCGAGGTGTCCACGGCACAAGGGAGCCCAAGGAATGAGCCCCACGCCGGTTTCGTTGCAAAACCGAATCATCTCGCGCTCCTCCTCGCGATAAAGGAGATTGTACTGGTCTTGCATGCTGACGAATGTAGTCCAGCCGTTCTTCTCAGCGCAAAACTGAAGCTGGGCGAACTGGGTTGCCCACATGCTGCTCGCGCCGATGTAACGGACCTTACCTGATTGCACAAGGTCGTGGAGAGCTTTCAAGGTCTCCTCCATGGGTACCGAACTGTCGAATCTATGGATTTGCAGTAAATCAATATACGTAGTTCCAAGTCGCTTCAAGGAGGCTTCGACCTGGTTGAAGATTGCAGTGCGCGAGAGACCGAACTGGTTTTGATAGTCCTTTGATCTATCAAACTCTGAGTAGAAGGCAAATTGTTGCTCCTCTGGATAGCTATTAGAAGGCGCAGCAGACGTCAATGATAAAACGTACCTGGGGTTTCTCCGACGGCAAAGTTGCATTTCGTGAGAATAACCAGCTTCTCGCGGGCGATATCATAGTGCTTGATTGCTTCACCAATGATCACCTCAGAGATTCCATTGGAGTACGAGTTGGCTGTATCCCAGGTATTGAGGCCCCTGTCATAGGCTGCCTTGAGCAGTGGCAGCGCCTAGGATTCGAACGTCGCTTAGTAGCTGCAAAACGTGCTCCATCGGGAGCGCACGTACCTTTTCCTTCCCCAGCGCCCAGGGAACAGCCTGAGGATCACCAAAACCCATGCAGCCAAGAATGGGCACGGAAACACGAAGTCCGGATTTTCCAAGTTGACGATACTGCACTTTTGTGTCTTCCAAAGACTGCTTGAGTCGACTAGGGAGTTGGAGGGCAGCCATGTTGAGCGACAAGATGATGAAATTTGGTGTTAGGATGAAAGTGATGGAGGATACGAAATGAAGAACTGCTTGACCGACCGTATAGGTATATATACTTCTTTCAGCAAGCTACTTAGGTTGCAATGACAGACGCACGTAAACCACCGTCTGGTCATGGATGAAGTCGCTAGTGTCCAACCAACGCATTTGTAAGTGCGTCACCTCCGTTTCGACGCGTTGGACCTGTTGACGGGTAGTCGGACAACTGTCGAGCCCGATGAAAGTCTATCCAAGGTAGTGCAGTGGCTACCGCGCCGCAATTGTTGAGGGTAAGAAAAAGTGGCATTGAAGCGGGTTTGGGGGTGAGAAGTGTGTATTGAAAGTAGCATTACAACCCTCCTCAGCTCAATGAATGGTCTGTGTCAGATGCTGACCAGGACCTTGGGTCCGTTAGCGCCGGGGACTATGACTATGCGCAAGTACCGAACCAATCAAGTTAGCGAGTTTACGAGCGCTACGCATATGTCAAACTCTCTAACCCAACATACCCTTCGTCTCCTCCTGTTTGAGACCACGATCCCCTTTGGTTCTCCTCCCATATCCTCCTCCCGCTCCACGACCGTGAGATACCAAATTGAGAGAATGGCAAGATCTCAGGTCGGACCACGCACCACCCCGAAAACCCGCAGCGTAACCTCGCGAGTCAAGACCGGCTGCGACACATGCAAGTAGGTGATCCCCACGGCGCCCCATGCGTCACCGTCTGACACGCATCTTGCAGAAGCCGTCGAGTCAAATGCGATGAGCGCTGGCCATTCTGCTGGCGCTGCGCCTCCGCAGGCCTCAGTTGCAAAGGTTACGGCGTCTGGGGTGGTGGAGGCAATCCGGCGGAGCCTTTTGCCCAGTGTCTTACGCTGCGCCGTTCAAACAACCCTGGCCCTCCGGGGTTTCTCAGAGAAGAAGACCCACAGGTGCTCGAGTGGTTCTTTCGGCGGATGATAAGCAAGCTTCAGGGCGTATTCCCGTTCCCGTTCTGGGCAACCCTTGTTCCCCAGGCCTGCTACGGTGAGCCTGTCATTCGAAGCTGTGTCCTGGCATTGAGTTCTGCGCACAGGAGGGCTGTCACACGACAGTGCACAGTTGTGGGAAAGGCACTTGATGACCTGGATCCGGTGACGCTACGCCATTATAATGCAGCTATTGGCATGCTCAACGAAATCCAGTCAGACAATGGCAGGGCGTCGATCCGCGTGGCCCTGATAGCATGTCTTATGTTTGTGACACTTGAATACCTCCTGAAGCGGCACCAGCAAGGCCTGATGCATCTCAAACACGGCTTGCAAATTCTGAGAGATGATAGAAACAACAGCAGGCACGAGCCTGCCGACGAATGGCTTGCAGATGCGTTTTCGAGGCTGGATATACAGGCGAGGCTCCTGTCAAGCCTCATTATGGAGCCAGCGAATCTTGGAAATGAGGTCAACAACACCGTCACATCTGTGTGGACATCATTGCACCAAGCACGGACACGACTCGACCATCTTATGACGGAAGCGCTTCATCTGGACTCACAAAGCCGTATCGCTGAATCTTCAGCAAATGTCGGGCGCCTGTTCGAAGCTCTCGTTATACAAAAACGCCTTCAGCGAGATTTGTACGCCTGGTTGACAGCTTACCAAAAGTGGCAGGCAGACTGGCCATCGTTTTCACTCCAGGAACAACTCGCTCGACAGGTTCTCTTGGTCTATCACACAATGGCTGGCATCATTACCGCGGTGGCATTGAACCAGGGTGATGAGGCAAGATATGATGGACATACTTTACAGTTCGCATCCATCGTCAGTCTTTCAAAGGGAATCTTCTCAGCGGCGCTGCCGTCCACAAATCGGCAGCGGTCCGCTGGTGATGAACCTAACACCGGGCAATTCAGTTTCAGTAGTGACTCTGGCCTTGTTCCTCCTTTGTTCTATACTTCTCTGAAATGCCGACATGCCAAGGTAAGAAGGGGCGCGTTGCATTTGCTTGCGACAAAGACTACCCAGGAAGGCATCTGGGATGGGTCGATGGCAGCCCCCATCGCCGCCGAGGTCATTCGTCTCGAGGAGGCTGTGGGTGGTGATCCACAGAAAGTGTCAGATATCAGAGGTTGAACTACCCTGTAGCCCTCAGACGACCCTGGTGCTCCGAGGCAGGGTGAAGTTGGATGATGGGACTTGCAAGGTATTTGAGAGGAGATATGACGGGAGAACTTGGTCATAAGTTGCAACAGATCATGCATTCTCTATAGTCCCCTATGTGATGGTACGTAGGGAAGCTTAGGGCATT